CTCGGGGCGGCACGGAGGGCGGCGGGGCTACTAGCAAGAGTGGGAGGGGAGCAGTAGCAAGCGTTTGTGGAACTTCAGCCTGGGATATGAAGGGTCTCGGTTTGCTGGGAATGAAGGGTGGCCGTGAACACCGTACTCAAGATATTAGTTCGGCGAGGTGTGTCTAAAGTGATGTTTTAGTACGGAGTTTTATCAGTTAAAAGTGACAGAGTTTCTGCCATTTAAATTTTGCATGAAAGTATGGTAGACTGCTTGATTTCTAGCTTTGTTTTTTGATTTGCTTGGGTTGGCTTTTCTTTTTTTAGTGAACCAGCCAGTTATTAGTTCCAATATGTATACACATGTATATAAGTGGAAAATTCATAAATGTGAATAGATGAGCTTTAATCTTAGAATCACAGAATCATTTTGGTTGGAGAAGATCATTGAGTCCAACTGCTAACCCTGCTCTGCCAAATCCACCTCTAAGCCATATCCCCAAGCACCACGTGTACATGGCTTTTAAACACCCCCAGGGATGGTGATTCTAGTACCTCCCTGGGCAGCATGTTCCAATGCCTGACACACTTTCAGTGAAAAAGTTATTCCTTGGTATATATTTAATTTCTATCTCTGCACATAGGCATATATGTTTAGAGAGAAAAATTTGAATTATAATTTTTTATACATCCGAACAATGTGTCTCTTGTTTTATTGAAAATTAGACTGATAGAACTATAATACCTCATTGTCTTGTCTTTGTTTTTCCTAGTGCTTGACCTGTAATACAGAAGTCCTCCAGGATGCTGGAGTCCTATGTAACTCCTATTTTGATGAGTTATGTGAATCGCTACATAAAGAACTTGAAGCCTTCAGATCTACAGTTGTCACTCTGGGGAGGAGACGTTGTACTTAGTAAGCTTGAATTAAAGTTGGATGTACTTGAACAGGTATGTTACGTTTATAGTAGTTACAGTCTGTGTCTTTGATTTAAAAAGTTGGATAAATAATTTAGATTGGTCTGCACAGACCCATGTTCATTTAGTACTCACTATTTTACTTCTTATGCAAGTCCTTTTTTTTCCCCCTTGTATTTAGTATTCCATGCTATTTGTTTAGTAATGAATGGTAATTCTTAACACATTCTGTAAGTTACAGGCTGTGAAGAGAGAGGCTTTTTTTGTGAATATATTTCTTCTTTCCACCATTGTTTTACAGTATTACTGTTAACAAAGTGCTTTTCCAGTTGTATTTACTAATTGCATAATACCCCTTCAAAATTTCACAAAGTAAAGCAGAATCTCTTTTTAATTATACATACTAAACAGGGATTTGTGTTCTTTGTAATGTTTTACGACTTAATTTTTCATCATTCCACTTTTATTTAAACTTAAGAGTAATTGAGGGACAGATTTGATCAACTGGTTTGTGTGGATTAGATCAGAGGCTTTGTAAAAGCCTTAAAAAGACGAGCTTGACCAAATAAAGTACTTTGTAGAGAATTTGGAGCCTGCTGTCAGTATGAACTGGTTAACTCTCTTGGCAGAGAGACTGTTGCATTCTATGCTTATTGGAGTTGACATCTTAAGGAGCTGAGTGTGTGAGACAGATAAAGCTGGTTTCAGCATAAAGCTGTGCATAGTGTAGCAAGTTTTAGCTAGAGTCTTGTGTCCTGATGTAGCCCAAATGAAGGAGCTGAGAGAAATGCAGCCAAAAATAATGTGAGATTTAGACAATATGGCCACTGAATGAACAATAAAATAGACAAGGAATGTGTTTTTAATTTTGAATAAGAGGAGACAAGATAGAGCAAGAGTTAGGTGGATGAGACAAAGAATGAAATAAATTGCACTCAGGGAGACTTAGGTTGGACATCAAGGAAAATTTTCTTGTGTTTTAATTGGGTTATGAGGCATTGCACTGAGGAGCCTGCATGGTCTCTGTCAGGGAACACCTTTTAAAGTGTGAAAGAAATATTTATGGTTAATTAAGTATTATTATATATGGTTAAGTATTATTATTATTATATATGGTTAAGTATTACTATATATGGTTAATTAAGATCCTGCTCTGGAAGAGGAGACAATCTTTCAAGAGATCTTGTCCTATTTTCTGTGCTTCTGTAAAGAGCCTGATTTGTCTTCCTGGAAGCATTTGGTGGCCTCTGTTTTCTCTCAGTTCCTTCAGTTCTTCATTTTCTTGTCCGTGCAGCTGATGTGGGTACTGGACTTCAGTTGTGTAGGAAAGCTTTCCTCCTGTGAATGTTTAAATAGTTTTACACGTATCTATTATGGAATCAAAGGAGAGCTGATGAAAAAGGAAGTCTGGAGGTCATCTTGTTCAACCTTCTGTTCTGAGCAGGGCTGTTGAAGTCAGATCAGCTTGTGGTTTTCTCCTGTTTAGTCTTGAAATCTCCTGTCTTGGTTGTGAAAACCACTTCTTTGGGTAAACTGTTCCCATGCTGAACTGGGGAGAGAGAAAGTTTGTCTTTATAACAAATGATGACTTGGGATGAATGTATCCAAATGTATGTCATGTATCTGGACATCTGCAAGGCCTTTGACATGGTCCACCACAACATCCTTCTCTCTAAGATGGGAAGATATGGATTTGATGGGTGGACTGTTTGGTGGATAAGGAAGTGGTTGCATGGTCACATCCAGAGGGTGGTGGTCAATGGCTTGATGTCCAGACGGAGATCGGTGACAGGTGGTGTCCCTCAGGGGTCTGTGCAGGGACCAGTGTGGTTTAATGTCTTCACCAGTGATACAGACAGTGGCATCGAGTGCCCCCTCGGCAAGGCTGCAGATGACACCGAGCTGAGTGGTGCGGTTAATGTGCCAGAGGATGGGATGTCCAGAGGGAGCTGGACAAGCTTGAGAAGAGGGCACCTGTGAATCTCATGAAGTTCAACAAGGCCAAGTGCAAGGTTCTGCACCTGGGTCAGGGCAGCCCTCATTATGAGTACAGGCTGGGGGATGATGTGGTAGAGCAGCTGTTCAGAAAAGGACTTGGGGGTACTGGTGGATGAGAAGCTGGACATGAGCCAGCAGTGTGCGCTTGCAGCCCAGAAGGCCAGTTTTGTACTGGGCTGTATCAAAAGAAGAGTGGCCAGCAGATGGAGAGAGATGATTCTGCCTCTCTGCTCTGCTGAGACCTCACTTGGAGTACCATGTCCAGCTCTGGACCCCTCAACACAGAAGTGACATGGACCTCTTCGAGTGGGTCCAGAGGAGGGCCACAAAAATGATCAGAGGGCTTGAGCACCTCTTCTATGAGGTTAGGCTGAAAGAGTTGGGGTTGTTCAGCCTGGAGAAGAGAATGTTCTGAGGAGACCTTGTGGTGGCCTTCCAGCCCCTGAAGGGGGGCTGCTGGGAAGCTGGGGAGGGACTGGTTACAAAGGATGTAGTGACAGGACAAGAGGCAATGATTTTAAACTCAAGCAAGGTAGATTCAGATTAGACTTTATGAAGCTCTTTACTATGAGGGTGGTGAAACACTGGAACAAGCTGCCCATGGGGGTGGTGGAGACTCCATCGCTGGAGACATTCAAGGTCAGGCTTGGTGAGGCTCTGAGCAACCTCATCTAGTTGGGGTTGCCCCTGCTTACTGCAGTGGGGTTGGACTAGGTGACCTTTAGAGGTCCCTTCCAACCCAAAGCATCCTGTGATTCTGTATCAAACTTCCTGTATTACCTGGTGCTTTTATGACTTTGCTGATGTTGTTCCCTTTAAAATAGCTGCAGGTGGCTTTGCAGGTGCTTTGGCTTCATATTTGTCTGCCTACCTATCAGCTGGGCACCTAAATCCAGCACAGTCTCTTACATCTCATGGCTCTTGTAGAGAGCAAATGTTGCCATACATACCTGTGCTCATATCTTAACAGCTTCAATGTAACGAGTGAAGTGTTTAGCTCAAATTCATTTTTTAACACTATTTGGCTGTGTGTTCGTGTGAAATGTAATGATCTTAATTTGGTCCTTTATTATTCTTTGGAACTTGCCTGGACCCAAAGGCTGTGTTTTTTTCTTTTTATGATGAAGGGATGCTGCTTTATGCCTGCTCAGCAAAACTCTTCCAGTATGTAGTATGTGGCAATAAAACATCCCCAAGCCTTTGCAGCTGGCAGGGAGCTCCCTTGAAAAGCTAAAGTCTCTAAAAATTACCAGTATATATTATTTTATTTGGGTTCTTTTCCAGGATGGATTCATAAAGTCATAAACTCTATTCATCCTGGATGGATTCCAAAATTAGCCACCTTAACTGCTCTGCTTTTCCAACATCCTTTCTGTGCTGGGCTGTTATCCCCAGCCTGGTTCTCTGCTCCTTATGTGGCATAAATGCAGCCTTGATTTCATGCTTTAGGCTTTGGGTACAGTTGCACGTACCGTGGATATCTTTGTTTGGAGCCTGAAACATTTTCAGGGAGTTCTGGCTTTTGTGGAACTATGCCCAATTATTTGGGAACGTTAGCGTAGATACCAAACTACCTGGACAGAACACTTTGTAACAGATTCAGGAACAAGTCTGTGCTTTCTCTGCCTGCTCCTTGCACTTCAGATGATGTTACCATGCCCATGTCATGCTGTGCTCTTAGAGGCCACCAAACAGAATCCCAAAGAAGACGTGAGAAGAGAGTGTAGACTGTTTTATATCTTACAGAGATTTGAGTTTATTTTTGGAGCCAAGGTGGAACCAATACCTTCTGAAATCAGCTGTAATATACTTGCTGACATAGAAGATTTAGGAAACACAAAGTCTGGGTTTTTCAGTACCTGAAAATACTTTGCATGTTTGAATGTCTGCTTATGTAAGTTTTATGTGCTCTCATTAAACTAACCTGACTGTTGTTGCAGTATCTCCTAGGATCTGTCCTCTCCTGTCCCTCCCTCCTTTTTTTTTTTTTCTTTCTTTTTGACAGTATCAGATCTGCAGTGAAAGTTGATTACTAGTTTGTACTGGGGTTCAACCTTTTAGGCACGGTGTAGCTTTTGTACATAATTACTTCACTCCCTGAATAGCTGGTTAGTTTTATAATAATTATCTTTATTTGTAGCTTAAATTTAAGAAAATTTTGATATTTTTTTTTTTTCCCTTATCCTGGATGATTCAAATAGTAGAAGACTAAGCATTCCAAGCCATTTTCCATCTAGGCATAATAACTGGCACATTAATTACAAAATAGTTCAAGTATTTTTTTATACAAACTTTAAAACAATATTTAAATATTAATTTTATGGAAAAGCCTTTTAAGCACTTTTGCCAACTTGTATGTGAAGTCACTGTGGTACCTGCGGTAACAGAAGTGCCTATGAACTTGGTGAGTAGCTTGTGGGCACTATTTCTGTGGCACAGTGGTACCAGACAGCTCCGGTACATGGCGAGCTCTTCTTGCTGCTTGTGTTGCCTTTCCATAGCTTCGTAGCTTATTGTGTCAGCTGTTTTACAAACTCGGAAGGGAAAGCTGGAGGGGTCTTTGACTGGAGGACAAAGGAGAGCTAAAGATTGAGTTTTATTATAGTGTGGACTTTTCATATCTGAAAGAATGTAGAAAGAAGAAAATATCAAAAATACTAACATACTTAGAACAATTTTATGATGATACGAACGTTAAAATATCCTTCCTTTAAGTGTCTGTGTTATGTGCCAGTGGGTTGCTTATGAAATACAGCCTTGAATGCGAGGAAAAGCTCTTTGATATAGAGGAAACAGTACTTGCCTATCACCCCAAAGTTTGGGGGAGTCTTGTATTTTAGAGCAAGGGGAGAATTTAGGGCAAGAGGGATTATGATCATCTAGTCTCCCGTCTTGTATGATGTTGGTCAGTTATGTGTCAAGCCTAGGAGTTTGTTTTCAGGCATATCATAATTTTTTTAAGGATTAATGTGATGTAAAGTCTAATCAATCAGAAGTACAAAAGATACAAAGAATTTCATGCAGTATTTAATGAAAGTGGAAAGACTGCACAAGAAAGGCCACATAAAAATGGTCTTTCTTGCGTTGTATTATGAACAAGTTACTAAATTGGGCATTTGTTTGTTTAATATTGTCAACTGAAATATGCAGAGAAATCTTTCTTATGCTATCTTTAAGGAGTATTTAGGACAATGTCAGACAGTGTTTCTAAAATCCTTTGGAAAAGAACTGTCTTCTAAATATGCTGTTTGGTTCTATCACCTCAGCTTGAAAGAATTCCTACTTCTGTTGTTTGTGTGGTTTTTTTTTTTTTTTTAATATCTTAGAGTTAATTAAGCAAAAATGAGTGTTAAATCCATCCAGCAAATAGTGCAAAAAGATCTATTCTAGAATGCCTTCTATAGTAAACTCATAACTCAGACTTGTGAAGACAAATCAAGATCTAAATAGACATTGTGGCATTGATGAGTGACATAAATGATGTATCTGCAGTTCTGGGAAGGGAATTAATTTCTATTACTCTTAATAATGATAGTTTTGATTAATGAAAGCATTGTCTCCTAAGCTGTAATGTATTTTTAGATGGCATATATTTTTGTATTATTATTTATGTGGCTCCTCCCCAAAGCTCTGGGACATAATGTATATTTTTGTCATCTGTAGCTTAACTACTCAATGCTTGGGTTTTTTGGTGGCTTAACTGAGACCGTCTGGGTAATTTTTTTTTTTTTTCTTTTTTTCTGGTGACTGTAAGGCAAAGGCTGAGTTTTTAGTTAGGAGAGAAGCTTTTAGCTAAAATCCTTCAGTATGTTAGTGAATGACATGAAGCAAAACAATTCTCTTCAAACTTTTTATGAGAAAGTCTGTAACTCATCTTTTGGAATGGGAACTTGAAATAAGATGTGGCTTTGTGTAGGCTCATCTGAGGTAGGAGTCAAGAGTCTCTCTGACATGAGATGAGTGTGGGTTTTCTTTAAATGTCATTAATAAAAACTGATTAAACCCCAAACCTAATTTACAAGCTGACAGCTTTTTACTTTTTTTGCGAAGAACAGCTTTAGCTTTGTGTAATTGTCATCTCTGAAGATTTTCTCAGTAATTAATACACTTCATCTATTCTTAGCTCTTGAGTGCAAGGTGTACTTTTTCATAGTACCAGCAGAAAGGGTGAGGGAGTGTCAGCTGCAGAATGGAGCATGGTCCTTAAGATTGCTCCATAGAGCAGCTGTTGTTGCTGTGATGGTGCTAGGTATACTTGTGTAAGAATAGTTGATTTCTCTTTTGGGTTACTGATAAGAGGCTATCTCAGGACACTAACCTGTCACAGTTGCAATAGTGGTTATTTCAACTCTGAACTTTAAGCTGTGGTAACTACTTAGAAAAATCAAAATTTTTAATCGGCTTTCAGAACATGTACTAAGATTTGATTAGAGTTTCAAGATGTTAGGCAAATAATGACTTTTGCTTTACTGAAATAGTCTGTAGGTAGATGTTATGTCAAATACTAAATACAAAATCTGCTTGTCCTCGTATTTTATTCATATAGAACCTCTGTACAGCAGAGATACATCTAGAGGTCAAGCAGTGCAGGAAGACAGACTTTCTGGATCCACTTCTAGATCTTCGTCTGAAACTTCCTAACAACTTGCTTGACCTCAGAGTTTTATGGACCTTTATCTATTTAAGTTCTACTTATTCATGGAAGCACTGAATCGAAGCATTAAAGTACCTAAACTCAGCCAAGATACAAAGGTGCTTAAGCCTCATGTTGCCTTTTTTTTTCCAGGGAAATTCAGAAGTTCTGAATAAAGGCTTATGTCCCTGAGTTTACTGGAAAACACAACACTTCAGAACCTGGGGGTGCTGGTTGCCAGCAGGCTCAGTAGGAGCCAGCAGTGTGTCCTGGCAGGCAAGTGGGCAAATTGCATCCTGGGCTGCATGAAACGTGCTATAACCGTCTGTCCAAAAGAGGTGACTATCTCGCTGCATTCAGCATTGGTGTGGCCTCACCTTGAGCACTGTGTGCAGTTTGGGCCCCACAATTTATGAAGGACATGAAGGTCCTTGAATGTGTACAGAAGAGATCAAAAAAGCTTGTGAAAGGGCTGGAAGGAGTGTCCCGTAAGGAGTGGCTGAGGACTTTGGGCTTGTCTGGTTTGGAGAGAAGGAGGCTGAGAGGTGACCTCATTGCTCTCTACAGCTTCCTGAGGAGGGGAAGCTGAGAGGGAGGTGCTGATCTCTTCTCCCTGGTATCCAGTGATAGAACGTGTGGGAGTGGTTCAAAACTGTGCCAGGGGAAGTTCCTACTGGACAGTAGGAAGCATTTCTTTACCCAGAGGGTGGTCCAACAACTGGAACAGGCTTCTTAGAGAGGTGGTTGATGCCACAAGCCTGTCAGCGTTTCAGAGGCATTTGGACAATGCCATTAACAACGTGCTTTAACTTCTGGGTGCAGTCTTTGAAATACATTCATCTGCTTTGTGGTATTTCTTCAATTTGACTGGCAGACTGTGACCTGAAATGAGCTGTTTGTAATAAACCTTTCTGTCATGCACCTTTTGGAGGCCATCAGTGAACTTCCAGATGGTCAGGTGGCACATTCCCAGTTAAGCTCAGAGGTGATGAACAGCAGCTTTGGAATGGTTTTTAGTGTCATCCTTGGCACTATGTTTTGTTGAACAGATTCCACAGAATGTCCATGAGAATGACTAGTGCATGCGTGGTGTTGGTGAATAGCTCTTGTATTCCCTGGGTACTAAAATGTTATCCAGGCTCACTGGGTCTGAAGGTGCTGTGTTTAATTGATTTTGTCTTTGTTGGATTGTTTTTTTGTAAAACTTCTGTTCTCAGAATTACAGCATAAACTGCTGAGTTCAAGTTGGATGTTCATGAATGAATGACTTTGGTTGTACCCTCCCCCTTTTCTTCAGCTCACCACTTTATCCCTGTCACAAGTTTTGCCACTTCAGCATTTGCTGGGAAGGAAAATAGACATTTTGGTTGATTTTCTTGACCACCTCTATTCCTGGTGTGAATCCTGGCCTTGCATCATCCAATCTATTCACAATGCCAAAATTTAACAGAAACATCACCTTTGCAGAGTCTTATCAAATATATAAAGGTAGCCATCACAAGCAAACTTTTTCCCCTTCCACTCTGGCTTTGGACTGTTGCAGCCATCTCCCAGTCAGCAGCCAAGCAGTAGGATTTTTGCAAGGAAACCGTGTGTGTGTATGTATAAGGGACCTAGTGCAAGAAAAGAGCGACACAATTTGCAACGTGCTGGCCAATTAATCACGTCTTCGTTGTGCTTGAGCATCAGAGGCACTGTGGCAAGCTCGGCCACCTTGCTCTGAAGCTGTTTTTGGTGACCTGTTAAACCAGTAATATTTCAAGCAATGATAAGGTAAAGGCAGCAATATAATAATACAAACCCGAAAATTTTAGTTAGCATGAGCATGGCACAGGTGGGACGCAAGGTGGGTGAGGAGAACTGCAGGAGGGTTTTGCTGAGGAAGCTGTGGAACAGGTGGCTGTCCTGCTGCTCCAGTGCTGCTATTGCCATGTGCGTTGTGCAGGTCGTGAAGAAGCACCACAGCAGTGAGGACTGCTGGCTCTCTGTTCTCAGTTACCCAAGCCTGAGGAGCATGGAGGGGTGGTGGGATGCTAGGCCTCCAAGTCCCTCAGTTAAGAAAATAACAACTTTCCCTTCTTCCCAAAGAGAAAAAAACCATTAAGGTGTGGCAGGAATGAGCTTGCGGGCAGTCCTTCGTTTGCCTCCCTGAGAGACCCGTGCAGGGTTGTCCCCACATAGAGATGGCCGTGTAGAGCTGTCCCGTTCCTCTTGCTGCATGCATCAGCTGGCTCACCAGGGCTGTCCTATCAAGGTGTGACCTATCCATTTTGTTTGGGTGGAATGCCAAGCATTTGATGGGAGTTCTGGGCTGACTTCTACTGGTTTTTAAAGTAGTGTGACATCCATATTAGGCTTTGGTGAAGAGCAGTCTGATTTTGCCAAGGAAGAATTAATAAACCTGTATTTAATGAACAGTTTGATGTGAATGGGGCAACAGTAGGACATCGTAAGAGCGCTGAGCTCTTGCACCTCAAACTACTAAAATATTTTGGAAGAAATTGCCTTGCTGTGGCTTTGTCAGTGTTTGTTTAATTCCAAATTTTTGTTCTTCAGAATAACACACATCAGTGTAAGTATTTATTTTCACCTGGTTCATTTCTATTTGTCTCTTGAATAGTGACACATTTTGCAGTAGCTTTGTGCGAGGGAGGTGGTTTTATACTGTCTGGTATTATCAAGGACATGGCAATCCAAATGTCTCCTTTGAACAGACTAATTGTAATGTAAGTGTACAAGCAATTATAAAGCCATTTGCCAAACCACATGGCACTGTGGAGCGAAAATGGATTTTGGCTTATGTTTTGTGCTAGAACTGTACTATTTTAAGGTACAAATGTGTGTTGAATTTTGATAGGTTTCAGTAATTAATTCAGCACTCGGTTTTGTTGTTGTTTTTAGGAGCTGAAACTACCGTTTACTTTTTTAAGCGGGCATATTCATGAGCTTCGCATTCATGTGCCATGGACAAAATTGGGATCAGAACCAGTTGTCATCACTATCAATACAATGGAATGCATCTTGAAATTGAAGGATGGAGCTCAGGTAAGAAATGTGCTAAATGCGTTTCTAACATTGAGAGGTTGATGACAATAATAGTTTCTGTAGATCTTTTTTTAAAAATATGAAGAATGAGGCACGTGAAGTTTCAGTGCCTATTTTCAGAGTGGCTAATATTGTTTTTTTCTTCATTTACGATTATTTTTAGTTCTTTATTAGTTGTAGTTGTGTTCTTGCAGATGTAAAAGCTTGTTAATAATTCTCTGACTAGACAAGAAATTAGATTTCAAGAGCACTATAGCATCCTACATGCTTCTAGCTTCTGCCTTCTAACAGTGCTGGTTACTTGAGACTGTTGTGTGCAGCACCACTGAGCACTGGGCATTTCTCAAAGGATGTGTTGTTCTTCTTCAAGGAGCTCTGTAAAGATCCTGGAGTGTAGTTCTCTTTCTTTTAGAAGTTAGTTACAGTACTTGCTTGAGTGTACTTGGAAGACTTCTTGTGTGTAGGGGTCTCAAAGGGCTTTTTGTGGAGTTGCTTCACAATAATTTGTTCATTACGGTGTTTCACAGGCTCAAGAAAGTTTTATGCCAATACAATGAGACTGAAATATGCCATGGCTGGGCTTTGTTCTACATCTAACTTAGTTAACAAAAAGTTCGTGTTAAACTTGTTTGTTTTTTTTTTAGTTGGTGTGATGTTTTAACACTAGAGAGGTTTTGTGTGTTTTTTTTTTTTTCTCCCTTCTCAAAGTCTTGTTCATGGTTCAGTTTCAACATAGAGTCCTCCAGTTTTACTAGGGATCATGCAAAAGAAAATTACACTTTCTTCAAAGCTCTCAAGTTTTCCATAGGGTGCTTGATGAGCTTTTAAGATCAATAATTAGATAGAAGCTACCAAGAACATAGGAAAACACTTTTCCATTATGTTTGATATTTCATGTAATATTCTTTTGTGGTTCAAGGGCTGTTGTTGGTGGAGTAGAAATCTCTAGTCCTATGTGTGCCACCCACAAAGCATGTGCTTGTATTATGTAGGTACACTTCATCTACGTGTGTATGCGCATAGACGCACCTGTATACCTGTATGCACACCAACAGCCAAATGCTAAGTAGTTTTCCAATGCTAAGGTAAGATTTCAGGCCAGGTGTTCCGTGGGAAATGTGCTTTAGAAGCAGCACATTGCAACTAATTATAGAAGCTGGAGAAAAAGATGTGTAGCCCATGACTTTGTGCAGCCCAGAACTAGTATTTGATATTGGACCATGCAGATGGCTACTGCTGGAATGATCAGATTTCCTGCTTGCATGGTATTTGAAACTTAAATTTTGTGGTGCATACAGCAAAAGGTCAAGTGTCACCACTGTAAAACACTCTCAAAACAAGTATTTGTTACAGATGTTTAAGATTCAGAGGCAAGAAAGGATTTTTGAAAATTGCAACTGACGTTTGAACAAGTTATTCAGTGGTATGTACACTCAGGAGGGTAAAATTTGGGTCTGTGCCAGAGAAGGATTATCTTTGACTAACAAGAATGTAAATGAAAACACACTTATACTGTTTTGTGAGGATATGGTTTAAATAGTTGACAGCTTGAATTTTATTTTCTGAAATTACTGTTTGAAAGGGTTTTGTAAAAAGAAAATATTTTGCCAAATTCTTGTGTTCTAGCTTCCAGTGTGACAGTGTACTTGGCTAAAACCAGTTGTCATGAAAATATGTAGTCAGTGAATGAAAAACCTGAAAGAAATAGAATATTTCTGTGGAAAATGGTAGTAAAGTGAACTTCCAGTGAATTTAGTTCCAACTGGAACTGTTCTGCTGAGAACATAGCAGTAGAGAGCATAATTAGCAAGAAAGTTTAGTTTAGTTCTCAAAAATTTATTGGCTTGATCCGGCTTTTTCTTCCTCAGGTGAAGCCTCTAGTGAGTACATGGATAATTTCACTGGAGCAAAAAAGAAAGTTTCTAACTTCACTTAGTGTGAGGTGTATTCTATGGAAAGAGGCTACTTCAAGGAATGTTTATTTTGAAGAAGTATGAGAATTAAAGTATATGGCACTGTTTGAAGCTCTTGTGCAGTGTCCCTTACAGATTTTTGTCAGCAAAAAACTTTCTCCCTTTGCATGTTTTTGAAAAGTGTCAGGCCCCTGGGAATGCTTTTGTACATCTGTGCTTCACTTTTGATTCTGTGCCAATGTTAGTTTGGTTTGCTCTTTATGCTATTGCAGCTTCTCCTCAGCTGAGATAAAAGTTAGGAATAGACAGTGATGACTCAACTAGTTTTATACTAACATTCTCCTGTTCTAAGCAGAAATATTATATAAGTAGTAAGATCACCCAGTGGCATATGAAATTCAGTGTAGGATTAGTGTTATTTTTAGTGTTGTTTTTTTTTAAAGTTTGACCATTTTGAAGGTCATTGCTTTCTCCTCCTTTCTGTGCTTTTCTCTCTTCTTTCTCTACAGGTGATACTACCACTTTTAAAACCAGAATGTTTAATAAATATAGCTACTTTATAAGTAAATGAAATTTAAGTGCATCAGGAACAGAACTTTGCAGTGATTAATGTGTGGTGTTTTACTGAACACACTTTATATGTGCTCTTCTGGTTATTAATTTGGTTAATGCCAGTAATTGAAGTAGGAATTGTGAGGCATTTTGCATTGCTTTTTAATGTCTGAGAGCTTAATGAAGCTATACCTGATTTTCTGCTCCTAAGTGTAATCTTCAGCAGCACTGGCTTTAAAGTGTGACCATTTCTACCGTTAACAAATTAATGAAGTATCTTGGTAAACACAATTTGAAGTGTGTTCTTACACACTTAAACGTGATTCTGAAGTTCACTTGACTACTACTTGTTAAATAATAGTGATTGACTCCCATAAGACTGTTCTTCATGAATGGTTTGTATTGTTTTAGAGAGCAGTTAAAGTTCCAGCATTATATTCTTTTCATTACTTATCTCTGCATATTAAGTTTCAAGACTTTTAGCTAGAATTTAAATCTCCTGGCTAAACCTCTGTGCATGCTGTTTTTTTCTCCTAGAGTTTTATTCCTTTTTTTTGTCCAGTTGGACTCTTAAAATTCTTCTACCCCAAGCAGTGGTGTTTTTTATTTTTTTTTTTTTTTTTTTTTTAAAAGGCTGCTTGAATCTTTCCCTCTCCATGCCAAAATACCTCCATGCCCAAACCAGAGGCTTTAAAGTCAGACTGTACAAACAGGGAAGGACAATCTTCTGTCTGCTTCCTTCACCTTCCTGACATTATAACTAACCACAAGATTTATCTTTATATTAAACCTTGAATTTTGTAGGTTTTAGACTTGGAACTGATGCAAATGAAAAGATTCAAGGAGAAATGTAATATTTATATTACATGGAGTCCTTGCCTTTAATCAGGTCATAAAAATGCATCAGGATTATGCTGATGTGTATGAAGATGAAAACTCTTTATCCCAAGGATAACTAATTCTGGAATCAGGGAAGAATGTTAGATGCAGGAACTTGCAGAGGCTCAGGGAAACCAAGTAGTTGTTTGGATCAGCATATAGACAGTTAAGCACTGTTCCTTCTATAAGACATGACAAAGAAGGTTTTGAAGGAATGTAATGACCATGGAAGTAGCAAGCAGCCCACAAGCATGACTGTCAGAATAACAGACACACATTCTTATCGGACAATGAGTGGAGACTGCCATCCAAGAATGCTGAAAGCAGAAATTGTTCTCAACTGGAAAATGATTAAGGTGGTAGACAGGGTGTGCAGACAGGTTATGAAGATCTTTGCATGTGAAGACAGAAGGCTTGTTTGTTGAGGGTATAGTTATTGAAAGTTTTTGCTTAGGTCATGAAGCTCGCACAAAGTTTGAAGCAGTGTTTTGCTGGTTTTGCCTCACCTGGGTTGTAGTAGTTCAACTGTATGTGATTTCATCGAAAAGTGGTGCTGGTTTTTGTTTGAATGTGTATGTATGCTGTTCAGTGATGGCAAAAATATGGTAAGACTTGAAGTCAGAGGACTAACTGCCTTTAATGGCCTACCTTTCTGCTCTTCATTTGGTTGTGTAGAAGCTCAAGGTCTTTATTTTTTGAAACATTTTCATTTGGTACTTACTCATTTTCATAGGGGTATCTTTAATTCAGTAAATCTGATCTTGAGTTTTAACACATTAATGCAGTTTAAGATTATTATATCTAGAGCTGTCCTACAGGAAGCAAACCATGTTGTCAGCTAGTGCTGAATCATAATCTCAGGTTAATGATGAATTCATGATTAAGCAGACAATTCATACTGCTTTTATTTGTGTTTTAGTAGCTTAATATAGCAACGGGGATTTTACCTATTTCAGTGTGCATAGCAGTGAGTGTGTGTATATATGTATATAAAAGTAACAAGAACAGTTTTCCATGTTACTTTTGATTGGAGCAAAATCCTTTGTTTAAATTTGACTTAGAGTAGTTTATCTTTTCCAAAAGTTCAGGAAGGTTTAGCAGAACCTTTGGTTGGGTTTTGTGCCATTTTCTGTCAAAAACCTCCATTCTGAAGAGTTCTGCTTTCTGTGAATTGTTTGATGTGAAATGGTGTGTTTTAGGTAGGAGATTGTCTTTTAAGGATATTATATTTATGGGAGAAGCACTGTGCTCCACAAATCTCTTGCAAAAACATTTAGGAATCTTACTCTTTCACTAAAGGAAGCACTAAAGGCAGGCTGCAAAAGCTGCTAGAAAAGGCCTTGCAGCATTTGCTTCAGACACTTGTCTCTCTGTTTCTTGTATTTTCAAAGGAGTGACTGAAGAGGAGATACTGAACAGCTTTACTTACAGCTAGATTAATATTCATATGTTCTAGCTGGGCAAGCAAGAGTGACTGTCTAATCTGTGTGTTTTTTTTTTTTTTCTATTAAGAACATTCATATGAAAAGACTTTAAAAGCAAGGTATCGGACATTGTAGGTTGCAGTAATTCTGCTTGCAAATGAAAAAATTGCCTTTGCTCTGAATTTGTTCAAAGATGCCTGCAGGCACATTTCTTAATGCTCTTGCTGTAAAAGTCCTTCCACTGCCATTGTGTTGCCCCAACCTGAAGAGCTGCCTTGCTTAACTAAGTGCCTGTTACCACATTAGGAATTTTGGATGGTTTTCATGTGAATTTGTCAGTGTGTTTCTTTTTGAAGTCCTTTCCAGGGCTAAGTAATGGTGATTTCAGTGTCTGCTTGGTTGCTATGAAAGGTATGAGTGGTCCCCCTTAATTCCTCCTGTGCTTGTGCCTGGCCTGTAGGAGAGTTTCCAATGCTGGTGTGCTGCCTCCAGGCAAAGACAGAGGGACAGTCCTGACCTAATCCTAGTGCTTCATCAGAGTGAGTGAGCCTTGCATCTAGGTGTTTCTGCTAAGGAACAAGACTTCAGATAGTAAGCACTTGTCCTTTGTTCCATGCAGTGCTGGGTGACATCTTCATCAGCAGTGCTGTGCCTGGCTCCTGAGGGCACCTGCAGGGACAAGGCGTGATAAACTGTGTGTGGCCCTGTTTATGTGAGAAGGGTCTGGCTAGGAGGCCACTTTTCTGAGCAGCCAAACAGTGAGTGGCTGAGCAAGGCAGGGAATGTGACTGCCCACTGCGACCAAACTTCCTGGTGGTTATATTGTTTTCCAAGCTGATTTTATTATGACAGTACACGTGTACATGAAAGATGAAAAGAAGATTTGCTTTCTTCCAGCTTGTTTTCTAAACATTCTCTCCAACTTGCTAAAAATTAAATGCTTACTAGGTAGATGTAAAACTTGATAGTTTAATTCCTTGAAATATTTAGTCCTGCAAATGTCAACATTATACATGGTTAAGAAGAGAAGTCAAGTACACTGGCAGGTGTGTTTACTGTGGTCGCAGGTTCAGGAACAGAGAAGCAGTCAAGCTGTAGTTGGGGCTGTGCTCTTACTAAGGAGCTCAGACTTTGAATGCAGTTCATTTCAAGAGAGATATTGTCAAAATGGTTAACAATTGGACTTGATGATCTTAAAGGTCCTATCCAACCTAAATTATTATATGATTCTAAAATCAGCCTGGTCATTACAAAATATATTGAAATGGTATCTCATTAGTGATTTTTAACAGGAATTTTTTTTGTGTGTTCTAATGGATGCACTTTGCAAATTATGTGTAATGAAGAGTATGCAAGGCAAGGGTATGATTCCGTGTTGGTGTAGGTGTTGCAAGAAAAGGAAGCTGCCAAGAGCTGTGTGTAATTGACAGTTTTCCCTTCAGTGCCTTTAGCAGCTGGAGCCATAGTATCTAGTAAGTAAATGTTGCCTTTTCTCAATTTGCCTATAGTTTTCTGAGGAAGACCTTCACTGTGTACCTCTTTGTGGTGTAACTGAGGTCAAGTTTGTGCTTTTGAAGACATCTTCTAGCTGTCCAGGCTTACTGTGCTTTGACCTCTGTTGTGG